ATCAAGAAAGAATATATACGAAAAAAATATTCAATGAAACCAGTACCATTATTAAAAATGATAGAATTCAAAAGGAATTCTTAAGAGAACATAGTAGACGATCATTTAGTAATCTAGGAAAACTTAGTGAAAATAATTTATTAAAAATTCAAGAAATTGAAGAACCTCATAGTAGTAATAGTTTATATAAAAGGGATATAGAAATAGAAAAATTAAATAAACAGGTAAATGAGTTAAGCTCATTAGTAATAAATCTAAATAATAAAATATAATTTGTAGTAATGGATAAGAAAGATATAAATCTTGAATTAACTGAATTATTACGAAGGGAAATCAAAGAAGCAGATTATTTAATAGAAAAATCAATTCAATATTCATATATAAACAAGGATGAACAAAAAATAAAACAGATAGAATATGATATACAAAAATATAAGAAAAAATTTAAGAAATTACATAGAATAGGACCACCTAAAACAATAATATAAATGACTTTAAAGAAGAAAATATATAAGGTTAAAATATGGTATCAGAGCCTGGTAACAGGCGAAATACTTAACTAAAAAATGCCACAAATAGATTGGTTAAATGCATTTTTAGCAAGACGCAAAACTCTTGAAAAGAAAATTGCAAATACTGCACCACATTCTGAAATACACGAAAAACATATAAAATATTGGAAAGATAAGCTTGAATGTATAAATCTAGCTATCCGAATCTTAGAAACAAATAGTAGAACTTTTTCAAGATCAGAAGAACAGTTCTTTGAAAAATGTTTAGATCCTTGGAAATATAAAAAATAAAGAAAATGAGTACAATAAAAATTTATTTGGACATAGAATGGGAAATTCAAAATATAAAAACAGAACAAATAAGATATGCTTATTTACATGATATTACAAGTGAAGAATTTTATTACGACATGATAATGATATGTGAAAAACAATTAAAAAGATTAAGAAATTTACAAACACAAGTAGCTGTTGCATAAACATATTATATAGCAAATGGATACTATTAATAACAAAAGCATTTGCTATGAGCACTCCAACGGGTGCCACCCTCGCGGGTGGCATCGAGTGAACCGGTTAATGAGGGAAAAGTCTGTTATCATATTTTGGCTTTTAATTTTTTAATGGTAATAATAATACGATAATATCTTTTACCCTTAATATATAAAAAGATGGCAAGAGCCTCCTTCAATTGACACGTGGCGCAAGGATTTTGATAGGCTAAGTCGCTGACACTACAAACGACGACGTTTTGGAAATATTGTTTCTGGACCGTTGATTTTAGAAATTAAATCTCTACCGTTTGTCTAAAGTTTAAGTAGTATCTTCTCTCATTCTGGCCCTCTCGCGCGGCTGAAACTCTCTCCCTCTCTCCCTATGTTTCTTACCGTCTCTATTCTTCGATACCGACTCTGATATGTCCTTCCCCTTTAGTTCATCCGGTCGCCCACCAGTAAATGAAGTTCACCAGCAGTGAGGCCGGGTCCACCTCTCCCGGTGACTCGAAAAAATCTACTCGAGCCTGGGATGGATTCCCCTGCGGCGCGGTCAAGCCATCGTGCTCACGTCTAGAAAGCTTGCAGTTCGAGTTGCGCGAAACGAGTCCAAAGGGGTCTCTCTCAGTTTTAGGGCGCCCGATTTTGAGGTGTGTGTGTTTTGCCCATGTCTGAGCGTGTATTAGAAGGTTGCAATGAACTGTGGTTTCATTATTTATTTTTTTAATTTCTAAATTTTTACTTAGGCTATGATGAAATTCGTGCGTCCAATGAATTGAAGGTCGAGTCAATTCAAAATTTCTTTAAACTTTGGTGTCGTTCTATGCTTCTAGGATTTGCGTCCGGTGGGTTTCATAGAATTTCGATTTTTTTGCTCAGAAATTAACGGAAAAATTTATATCTATTTCGCTAGGGTTCTTATTTTTTGCCTCTTTGTTTTTTTGTTTGCAGGGTGCAAGGAGGACTCATCGGCGTGTTCGTCATGCCAATATCTGGACATGCAGTTCAAAAAAGTTCATTGTTTTCTATTTTTTATGCATTTTTCTTTTGCCTCTTCCTTTTTCCTTTATAAATATTTATTGATTGTTTAGTTTTGGGGCTTTCTTGTGCACTGTATACATTTCTCTTAGGTTTATGACTTTTGCATTTTTGTGGTTTGTGTTATGTGTATCATGATATATTTATTTATTTTTTAATTTCGAGTGGTCAGAAGGTAAAATGATGGTGAGGAGTGTGTTCTCACGTGGTCGTCAGCTTTTACATTGATTATGTTGGCTATTAGATTGCAATGATTTCACAGTATCAAGTTGATGTAGTTCAAAATATTTGTTTGCAGCTTTGGATAGATTTCTTTTAGGGGGTTTTGTATTATCTTTGACTATTATGTTCTATTTTTAGTTTTGTAGGACTATAGATGCTGATTTGATATGACTCCACTAATTGTGATATGCAATACTTTAAATTGATAATATATATTAAAGCTTATATGGGCCTGACAATATAAATTGCCATCCATTTTTATTTCGCAGAGAAAAAAAAAGTTAATGCACCTCTTTAGGTATCATTTTTCCTAATTGCTCTCAACATTTTCCAGAAGAAGGAAGAAGCTGCAAATAATTTTCTGTTCCTTAGTGTCTACCTTTTTATTATCTGCTCTGTGTAAAGTTTGTATGTTAATTCAATCTCTAAAACAAAGTAAAACATCTTTGTGTTGGTTTTCATAGAGTTGAAGTATATAGGCTTTTGATCTTCATTAAATTATCAATCTATCTGTTTCAATTACAGACTACAAGATAGAACTGATCTGCAGTTGTTGTATTTGCTTAGATTTGTCTGTCTGTGTCTATTTTGCAGTTGTATATGTTCATTGTTAAATGAAAGTTCGTAAGAGTTTGTTGTTTTACACATAAATGAACTTTTACTTGTTTTATAGTCTGTTGTAATTCTTTTGGGGGACTGGCCTGTGCCTCATGTGCAGCAAAATATTTTTTTATTAATTTTATTTTAATTTTCAAGCCTTTCATGATGGCGTTTTTGGGGTTTAATTACTGTTTTTGGTTGTCTTTTGTGTGTTTACAAGGTACTGCTGCCTTCACTGCCTCCAAAATCTTCCATAGCTGCTGATTAAGTGAAAAGGTTTATATATAAGGTAATGGAAGGATATGTCTTCATATTTTTGTGTTAAACTTTAATGCTTTTTCAGACATCAAAGAATATAGTCCTAATAAGAAACTTTTACTTACATACATATGATGTGCATATTGGTTGGTTACTTAGCTACTGCTTTCATTAATATATGTATTTGCATCAATTTGTTATACACAGTGTTCATTTATGTGGTGATCTGCCTGACCTATTATTTATTAATAAATATATAGATAGCTTTGTTATTTGGTGGAACTGCTTGGTGAAGCCTTTGGAAGTCAGGAAGGAGAACAAGGTGATTGTTACTTGCTATCATGTTAGCTTCTTTTCATGCAAATCACCTATTAACTACTTTTTTTTCATTTACCAATTTGTGCACCTGTTTGCTTACCATTATCCTTTTAAGTATTACTTGTTTATTATCAATAAAGTAAATCATTTTGCTTATCGGATTTTCTTCTTGGGTGCCTGTTTATCGAGTAAAATAAAAGATTGTTGTTTTGACTTTGTTATTTGGTCTTGCTATATAGTGGAGTTAAATTAGACTAAGTAAAAGCATATAGCCAGGTGTGTGAGTAAAGTATTACAAAAAAAAATAAAAAATAAAAAAAAATTGTGTTCTCTTTTTCTTATGATATCTTAGGTTAATTATATAATACATTAGAAACTTGTTTAAGTAGTTTGCTTTCTTGCCTAACCTTAGTTACTAAGGTTGTATTTATTGCGTTTGTTACATTTTAAATCTATAGAAATCGGTGGAACAAATGTCTAATAAAAATAAGTCATTGACAGAAAATTGGTATTGCATCAGCATAGTTCCATCCTCTAAAAAAAGGGTATCGGCAGTACGCCATTAAAGATGGAAAAACAAAAAAAAAAAACGCAGAATGTTAACATTGAAGCCGGGTGTGCAAGTACAATTCAGCAAAACTTAGAGAATACTGGTATGCAAGTACATTTCAGCAAAACATAGAGAATACTTCTACAAATTCCCTTTTTCATGGAACAAACAAAAACCTCAAGATAAATGGAATAAATAGACTGACAGCTCCTCTAAGTTGTGCAGATAAAATATTAAATACCAAAATGACTAATTCAACAGAAACTGCATTTTTGCAAAGCTGTGGTTGTGCGCTGGAACTTCCTAACAAAACGTATAACAAAACATATAAGCAGAGTGCCTCTATGAAGACATTATCAATTCTTTAACACCTGGTGGCATGCCTCCACATAAGATACAGTTAAAAGTAAATGCTCCCATTATACTACTCGAAACTTTAGACCCAACAGAAGGATTATGCAACGAAACACAACTAATTTGTAAAAAGTTAAGCCGAAACATTATTCATGCAGAAATCGTTGTAGGAAAATTCAAAGGGGAGAATGTTTTTATACATAGAATTCCATTAAAACTACCAACTTCCTGTGCCTTACAAAAGAATTCAATTCCCCGTTCGATTATGTTTTGCTATGACAATTAATAAAGCCCAGGGGCAAACATTAGATTCAGTTGGTGTTTATTTAAAAGAGCCAGTCGCATGGTCAACTTTATATAGCCTTGTCAAGCGTAAAACTCTCATCAACAATTAGATTTGTTATTAAACCACCTTTGTTTGATCCCCAAAGAAATTATGCTACAAAAAATATCGTTTACAATGAAGTGCTCGAAGCAGCTGCAGCACCACAATGTACTCAAAATTAGCATTGTTATGTTAAAAAAATTTGTCTGTTTAATTTACTAAAGACTATATTACATAAGGTCTACTATTTTTCAAATTTTGATTTATGTCTTATCAATGAATGCAAGTAATGATGTCGAGGACCTATCTGCCCATTAGCCAAATCACTGATGAAACAAGAAACTGGACTGCGTTTATTCAAGTCGTTGAGAGGGCATCTATTCAAGCAAACAAAAGTGATTCATAAGTGCTCTATCGAAGATACTTATTCAGTGATGGAGAGGTCTGTAAATGACTTATGCTTTGTGTATTAATTGACTTTAATAACAAATCTCAAGGATATCTATGGTAAATTCATTATTCTTACATAACAGGGTAAGTGCGGCTAGAAACCCCACTGTACCAAGTTGGCCCTTACGAATTACGAATTCAATTGGCTGTTGCATAAAAAAACTTTGGTTGAAGAGTTCCAAGAAAAGGTGTCGCCTCCGCTTCCATGCCAAATAGAAATTCATGCGTTTGTGGACTTGAACAAATACGCAGATACAGAGAACCCCAGAAGTGAGTTCAGTTGGCTAAAGTTTAAATTTAAAATTAATATTTTAACCTAAAGAACTAACCAAAGAAGGATCAACCTCCACTTCAACAAAGGTACAATATCAACTATGACATAAATAAAAATTCTATGGTCTTTGGAGGCAGAAAATGAGAACTTAAGGGGTTTTGGAGAGGAAAAAAAAAAAGAAAAAGAAAAAAGAAACAACTTGAAACCAACAAGAAGTTCCATTCCTTGGTTTTGGGCTTTTGATTTTCCTTAAGTTTAGCTTGGGAGCTATCTTCGGTATATAATCTTGTGAAAAATGTTAGCAAAGAAAAAATGTTGTGCAATTGTATTTAACTCAGTATCTTAGTGTGAATGAGAATTAAGGCTCTGTCTTGTATTGAGGTATAAATTTTGTTATATCTCATCCTAATCTTCAAATGTAACTAATCTACATTCACGAAACAGGTAACGGACAAAGAGCTCTTCAGTCCAACGTTGAAAAATGTTCTTACCTCCTCACTCCAGCACGTAAAAAGCCTACAACAATTGCATCTTCGGATTCAGCGATCAAAAAACGCATCAGCTTCGACAATCAACAATCCTCCACCTCAGGAAGCAGCATCCCATTCACCAGGGCTCCTGAATCATCCACCCAACACACTCATCAAACCAGTACGCTATTTGATGCAAGCCCAACAAAGAAAAGTCGCCCGAAAATAGACTAGCTTCTCTATGACTGCATATTAAAACTTTGGGGAACTGCAAATTCTATGGACCACATCTTTTGTATTTTGTATCTACATTGTCCGCTATTTCAGCCATCTATTCACACATAGATGTTGTTGCCTTCTGCTACTTCTTAGTGGTATATATGCCACACAAACTACACTTTTGTGTTTGCCAATTGTATTGCCTAGAATTCTAAGCATCTATTTGCATATAGATGCTTTTGAATTCTAATGCACACTTGGTATATTTTGGTGTTGTCTACTAACTACTGTGACTTCTTTTGATGATCATATCTTATGGATTCGTATTCCACTAATGTAATATTCATTCCTTTATTGTGTTTACCTCTTTACATCTTCATAGCCATCAAATGTCTACCTGCCTTGGGCCGGCTGTGCAATCCTTCTAGTTCGATAATATAAACTCAAAAATATTAAGATATCCCTAAAAAAATACATTGATTTTCCGTCAAAATTTTAATTAATGGGTATAGAAAATTTAGTATTTTTTATTTTTAAATATTTAATATATGAATTTTATGCAATTTATTAAAAACAATGTTGAAGAAACATAACATGTTATGTTGTCATATTCATTTTTTTCCCATAATTTTATTTTTTGTTTATTTAATTAAGAATAATCATAATCACTCTAACAAAAGTAAAATGATATCATTGTTGCCAATTTCAAAAAATTATTACAAACTTTATTATGATGTGAGTTGTTTATGTCAAACCAAACCAGTTTCTAATATCTTAGATTTTATTTATTTTTATTTATTTTCATTACTTAGAAACAACTTTATCAAATAACAAAAATCATGAAGAGATGTTCTCTCTCGAAAAACTGTTTTCCCTGAATCTATTCCGTGCTACAAAGAAACATGAAATCTCAGCAATTTGGCGTCCTCCTCTTCGTCTACCGATTACGACTTGCTTCACTCCTCCGATCCTGGGTTGGGCAGGTGATGATGTGCAGTCGTCTCTTCTGCTCTCCCTGTTATTGATCGTGGGGTGGCTCCGGCGTTGGCAGGCTCTTCCGCCTCACCCCACCTTCGCGGTCTTAGGCCTAGGGCGGCGATGATGACTTCTTTGGTGAGATGAGTCGGGTTGGATTTCTCGGCTTGGTCTCTCCTCATGCTACAAACTTTTGGGGGCGCAATTTTGGGTACGCCAGATTTGGTTAGCCGTTCGAGTCTCATCCGGAGTTCTCAGGTCTGGAGCTCAAGATATGTGGTCCAATTCTTCTTTTAAGTTTCGAGGGTTGGTTTTGGGTGTGTGAGTGTGTGGCAGTAGAAGAAGGATTGCAAGAGGTGGGGGAGGTCTTATTGTTACAAACTCAGTTTCGATTATATGAGAATCTATGAACTGAAGTGTTCAATTCTTACAAAATGAACTAAAAATGAAAACAAATTACAATTTAAGAGTGGAAAGATTAAAGCCGAGACAAGTAAACTCTTTCCGCAAGACAAATACGTCCCGTATAGTGTAACGGTATGTACGTCTTATCCCCAAAGATACAATGAATATTGACTCGGAAGCTGTAGCACATCACACTTTAGAGCTTTGGCGAACACGAACAGAGTCAAGAACTGAGCAATGTATATGATATGATACGTGAGGCTTTCAGTAGAGAGTGAGATGCAGATGCATGTCTTGTGTCACTTCTGCAGCTTCTACACTGTCCCATTTATAGGACTTTCAGCCTAAGTGGGAGATAACCTCTGGTCTTCAGCTTGTAACAGCCCACTGATGGCTGTTGTAAATGAGCAATATTTGAGGTGTTAACTCATCTCCACTCCACTGAAATGGTCAGGCGGACATGTGAAAGGTCACACGTATCCAGGTTCAATGTAAATGGAGAGGTCTCACACGTGTTGGGCCAAAACCCCAGTCCAAACCAAACATTGTTTGGATTGTATCTTGGACTTGATAATTGCAATAAATTTGTAGTAAAAAGATTATAAGGGTTTGGCCCAAAGCCCAAGCCCAGCACCAAGCCCAAGACTGGCCAAGGCCGCCGAAGTCTGGCCCACAGTCCAAGGACCAAATACCAAGGATTAAGGACCAAAACCGAAGAACAAAGACCCAAGACCGAAGACCCAAGTCCCAAGCCCATGCCCGAGGCCGATTCGAGCCGAGCGGGTCGGCGGGCAGGCAAGCGAACGTGCGCGCGTGTGGCCGAAACCAACAACAACATTTGGCATATAGCTTTGTTGTTATTGTGACCTCTCCAACTTTCTTTATTATAATAAATCTTTATTATAATAAAGAGAGTTAATCTCATGTAAGAATTAATTTGGAAAACGACTCTTGACCTTTCGAATCCCACAACCATTGGTTTACATGTCCATGTATGGCTAACTTTAATCATTTATTTCTTACTCACTGAAAATAAGTTTTGAAAAAATAAATATACCACGAGTATCTACTCGGAACGTAGAATTTATTTACACAATTTAGATCCTCATATATCCCAACACTTTGTTCCTTGCTGTCACGTGACGAACTATCCATTTTTTTATTTTCTTTCTTCTCGTACCTCCCCTCTGGTTGGCTTCACAGTTCGTAAAAAAATCAGCCACTGCCTCATCCGCGTTCATGTACTAGTTGCACCTCGCTAATACTTCGTCAAACGTTCACCCATGCTTCTTAGCCAAAGAATTTTTGCAATTGCCAAGGCTCAATCCTCTATTCATTCCTCCAACCTTTATCTCCTCCGACGCCAAAACTACATCTATGCACGCTCTGGTATAATGAGCTACGTAATCCCTCAAGGACTCATTTTTTCTTTGTTGCATTCCAATCAGAGTTAAAGTAGGTTTTTTCATGAGCTTTGGCTCTCGCGACTCTACATACCTTCTAAACTCTTCTATCCCTCACCAGTGGGGGTCACCGGCGAAGCCTGATGGTTCTGGCTGATACTAATAATTGGCTCTTCCTCCCTACAGGTATTGATAGCTCTTCCAGGTGGAGACCAAACTGCGGCGCGTGGCTACTCACCGGCGCCAATCAAAATGCAGAGACACCCTGCTTCGGACTGGGTGCCAAAGGATGGCATCTGTTAGACCAAGCTTCCCTAATATCCTCATTCATGTTCCTCTGTATCCCTTCTCTTACAGCCATGTCAGTTGACCTAAAACTAGGTGAAGAAACTCTTATTTCCTTCAAAAGCTTCCCACAGACGACACCAAATGATGTGCCAATGACTCGAGTCAAAGATGAACTAGCTGGTTATGAACTTTGATCTACCTGAATAGCTAAAGGGTGACCTGCAAAAAGAGTCGGGAGTGTCTCCCGGCGTTAGCACTTTGACGTTTAAGTTAGTATAGGGAAAGAAGATGATAAATGCTTTATAATGAAGAGTTGTATATAACATGTGTAGAGAATGTCAAGTGTTAACAATGATACCTCAACCCTTTTTATAGGATTATACCTGCCTGAAATAGTCTGCACGAATTGTCCAACTATATGCAGTCAACCTGCCCAACTGCTCGGGTTTGATTTTATATACTTAGTATTTATCGTCATCATAATCATGTCCTAATCATCATTAGATTCCTTCTTATCTCCAGTCATCAGGTCGTCGTTACCCTTTCCACAGGTCATCCGAGTGTTTGTTGGTCGTCCGAGTGTTGGCGCCTACTCTAAGGTCTCCAGGTCGTCCATGTACTCCTGTAGACGGCTTTCGGGTCATCTTAGTTGGTGTTATTTCTGTTAGCCAATTATGGCTATATCACTTTTTATTGATTATGGTTTTATAATTTATATAGATTATCGTGTGATTAATATATTCTTCTGATCTTTTTATATTCTTTCATGGCATGAAAGTTAAAAAAGAAAAAGCAAGATGAAGTGCAAGTATACCAAATCTTGACCTTTTGTACTTACCTGCACCTAAGCCAATCCCCTAGCTTACAAAAGTCAAAAGCTTTTGTACATACAATAAATTTCAGTTTGCTCCAACGAATTTCAAAAGTACAATAATGTCCATATCTATCAAATCCCAGTGCAGTTAGATAGTACCCACGTTTAGATATTTTATTGCACACCAAAATTCAGTGCTCTCCCTCCAACACGTATCAAAGTGCAATAATGGTCATATCCTACCAAACTGCAATTGGATGGCAATATCTAGATTTCATGTGATTGCACAAATATTTAATTTAATTCAAAACGACATTCACAAAGAGCTGTTTTTTATCAGTACATCTGGGTATATCATATTGATCTATCTTCGTGTGAAGTTACAAAACATAGCATTTGATCTTAAAAATCATACTTAACCAAATTCAAACAAAATTCAACATGAAGTATGACAAACCTCTGCATCATCAACTCAATTTCATACTTACATTCGAAACCGAGAGAGAAATAGAAAGCGATTGATTGATTCCTTAAATAAGTAAAGTTATTAAGCCAAGTAAATTGTCTACAATCGACGTTAATTTCTCCAGTTTGTTAAGATTACCACAAATCTTGGTTCCACAATTAAACAACAACAAAAAAGAAAATAAAAAAAAAAAGAAAATAAATTATACTTTTTTTCTTCCATTTACGGATGAGGACTCACTAGACTTTCTCATCGACCTCTGTGGCTTTCACGAGCCCAATTTCGTCTTCGGGCTTTTCGCCAGACGGAGGCAAACTGGGCCTGTCTTTGCCACCAGGCTGAGAGGAGGCCTGACCATACCAAACCATCCCAACTATGGCAAACATCATGCCCACAACAACATGGGCATTAAGACCTTCTTTACCGAAGAAAAGAAAACCGAGCGTCAGGACAAGAATGGTCTTCATGTGACCCAACACTTGAAACGAGACAGCTGTGAATCGGCCTATGCAGATGAACTGGCTAAGGTTGGTGCCTATTGCGATTGCACAGGACAACACGATAAACATCTGCAAACACAAGGGAAATTATTGGAAGCTTTAAAAATAAAAAATAAAAAATAAAAAAAAAGTTTTGCAAAATGGACTAATGGTAGCTTTTTTTAAGTTTGGTAAAATACGTACAGTTGATATGTAGGTGTAGTTATAGGCATCGACCCGTTTATCGGTCAACCAGTAGTCAACAAAGGGCCCTGCCAAAAGTAACGATGCAGCTTGAGGAGGTGCTGTCTGCCCGAGTAGATTGAAAGAGCCAATGGAATGCTTCCTTTGGAGAAAATGAACATACTGCATTGCAATAGGGAGAAGAAGATTCGAATTGATTAATAGAAAGATATTTAAAAATAAAAATAAAAAGGAAAAGGAAAGAAAAGAAAAGTACCATTATGCATGCAGTACAAATCGAAAGTATATGAAAATAGCTGTAAAGCTTTACATTTGAAATGCTAAAAGTAATCGGTTATTCTTTTCTCAAGCCAGAAGCCGAAAAACTACGACTTTTTCATTTTCAATTAATAGAGAATTACTTGTACACACTCCCGATATAAGGAACAATTAAGCAAACAGAAAATGCACTTCATTCATGCCTAGTAATTATGATTGAAGCCAACACACAAAAGAGAGAAANAACCACTATTTAAGATTACTCATTACAGAAAGTTAAAAGGAAGCAAGACTTACATACTGCTGCAGGGACGTGCTCCAAACTGCAATAAAAGCAGCAACAAATCCTTTGGCATTAACACTCACATCAGTCACTGTACAGATGGCAACACCCAATAGGACGACTAAAATGCTCAGCTTTGTGTCCCTCGAATACTGAACGCCATCCAAAACAACCTCAAGAAAGCACGATACGGGTATCATGCTTAGCTTTGCAATCTGACACAGTATGTAATGGTAAACGTTTAAATAATCTTTATCGGGATTTACAGAGAGTGGACTAAAAATAATCTTTTTAACGTGATATTAATGGTAAGTGACCTGATAGAATCCCACGGAATTCCACATTAAGCTCACGTTCATTCCCACGATAGAGAAATTTGCAAACAAGACGAATTTCATGAGATCAGAGACTGGAAGAGGGGAGCTTTTGATGTAACCGAGCCTTTTTAGGACAAGGGTCATTGTGGTTGTGGCAGCAAAATGTAAACCAGTTAAAGTTGTAGCTGAAAGAGAGAGAGAGAGAGAGAGAGAGAGAGAGAGAAGGTATCAGAGAAGCCCTTATTCTAACACAGGAAAGAAAATGCAGAGAAATAAATCTTACCGAATGTAAAACCGTATGAAGCCATCAAAGCCTTATTGACGATAATAATACCAACGGAGGTGACAATATTGAACATCCAGGCACCCACATCAAGAGCCACTTTGTTGGGTTCATCCTTGCTTGTCACAGACATTTTATTGATCTGCTTCAGAAATTTTTTCTAAAGACCTCAGATCAAGATAGAAAGAAACTTGAAGAACTAACAAATTTAGAGTTTTTTTTTTTTTTTTTTGAAAAAAAGAAAAAAAAGAAAAAGAAACTGACAAATTATTGCCAGGAGAAAAACAAATTATGATGATATCCTGTTTTCTTGCTTTATTAAAGTAGCAAGAAAATCCCACACCACCAAACAGCCGGCTCATCTGACTTTTATAAAACAAGAAGAGCATGTAAATGATGAATATATTGCTCTTCTTTTTTTCTCTTAACCAATATTTTAACCAAGAATGTGCCATATTTCAAGGGAATAACAACTCATTAGGTATGATTGCCTAATCCTAAAGACTTAAAAGTACATTACGCTACACGTGAAAAGGAATTTAAGGCAATAGTTGCAAGCCAAGATGATGATCACGAAAAAGAGCCGGGAACTCATTATCTGAGTAGCTTATTACACAAAATTAAAGAGGTATATATGCTTCTTTACCTTTCCTTGATAACTCTAACTCCCCTTACTTGACAACTTAACTAGACAAATAACACAAAACCATAAATAAATCGTTCACAAGGGACAAACACGGGGGAAAATATACATGAAAAACGAAAAAAAAAAATAACGAAAAAAACAATCAGTAAAATTGAAACCTTAATCACCTAAGCCAATCATCAATAGCCTCAAACAGATTCCAAGAAAAGAAAAATACTATTCACGGGCAGAGACTCATCACAGGTAATTCAAGTTTACAAAAAAATTAGAAGAGACACCCCATTAACACAGAATCTCTATACAGCTAATTAAAACCCACTAGCCCATTAAAGGAACTCGAATTACTCTCAGGAAACTCAAAGTAAAAAAACCCAGAAACAAAATCAGCGAAAAATTACATAAAGATTCGATTTTTAACTACTTACGCGCGCGAAAAGGATGGATAAAAATTCTCTGACCCGAACACTGTTAACCTCTGGGCCTGCGATAAATTATGAAAGATTTCAAAAATTGGGGTGAAAATAAGCCGCGGCCATTTACGATTAGGGGGAAGAGAGAGAGTTTATCGAGGAGTTGAAACTTGGATAAAAGTCTGTATTTTGCGTCATCATGAAGTGAATGTGGGCTATGGAGAAGACGTAGACTTGAGAAAGAATTCGAGTCCTTGTTTGCGTCTGTAGGTGGCTCATTATATATTGATAAAATAATCTTCTGCAGGAAAAAGAATAATAAATTGAATATTAAAATATTGTTCCAAGTTGAAGTTTGCCCTTTTCACAATTTACCACTTAAATTGCATTACACATATGTGTTGGTGAAATGGTGATTAACATATTACAAAAAATTACATGGATCAAGTGGATGCCATCTTTGATACCAATTTTTTCTTTTCTTTTCTTTTTTTTTTTTTTTTNATTAAAAATAAAATATTTTTTTTATTAAAATTGTTGTTCATTTCATTTTTTTCCTTTACACTACTAACACCAAAAATAAAAAAATAAAAAGTAGTCATTATGTTATATTTTCTAACATGAAAAATTATTTATTCAGTCACATATTTATAACTACTAATTGTCAATCATCAGTATTTATTAATTTCATATATATATTAATTTTAACTAGTGTTTATCCCGTGCGATGCACGGAGTAGCTCATATTTAAACCTTTTTTAAACTTTATTTTAAAAATAATTCTTTATATTTTACCTCATCTATTATCAAAATAAAATAAATACAAACAATGAACAATATGAATTATCAAACACTTCTCTTTATACAATATTTTTTATTTAAAGAATATTATTAAACCTTACGGTTTTGATTTCTTTTTAAATCAATTATCCAATATATGATTGTTAATGTACAAAAAATAATGGAAAGAATTCAGGTTTTAAAGTAAAGCTATTTTTTGTTTTTTTACAAAACAAAATCATCCAAATTTTTTTAATTTCAAAAAGATTTGGCAAGTTTGTTAATGAGATAAATCAAGTTATAAAAATAATTAATTAGTTAAAATATTATATTAATTATATTTTAAGAACTCCGATTATATAAATGTGGATAAAAAACTATTATACTAATTAGTTTGTTAGGAATGTGATTATATGGAAGTTAAGATATAATGAAAAGTAACCAAAAAATCTGTTCGTGGTCTTTTCCTTTAAATGTTTGAATTTAAAAATCTAATAACCAAATTTATATTATATCACATAGGGAAAAAATAAATAATAATGTGTATGAATATATTTAAAAATTTAATTTTGAAATTCAAATAGAGTAAAAAACGGAACAATTCAAATTTGTTTTCAAAAAATTTTTATATTCTGGTAAGTATACCCGTAAGAATAATCTTACTATTTTATTTTCAAAATTTTTTGGCAAATTTTTTAATGAGATAAATTTAGTTAGACAAAAGATTAATTAGTTAAAATATTATAATAATTATATTTTGAAAATTCTTGTTAGATAAATATAATTATATTAATTACTTTGATAGGAATGTGATTATATAGAAGTTAAGATAAAATGAAATGTACCCAAAAAATCTGCTTGTGATCTTTTCCTTTAAATATTTGAATTTAAAAATCTAATAACCAAATTTAGATATATCACGTAAGGGAAAAAATAAATAATAAACATTCATTAAAGAGATAAAACAATAATATTTATCACTTAGATAATAAATAATAAACATTTACATGTAAGAAAAAATAAATAATAATATATTTAAAAATATAACTTAGAATTTTAAATTAAAGTAAAAGGAGGGATAGCTCATTTTTTTTTAAAAAAAAAAAGTTTCTAAATGTTTAATATATTCGTAAGTATCTCCGTAAGAATAATCATACCATTTTAATTTCAAAAAAATTGACAAGTTTGTAGGAAGATAATTCCAGTTAGATAAATGATTAATTAGTTAAGATATTATATTAATTATATCATAAAAAAATCAGTTATATAATGTAGATAAAAAATATAATATTAATTAGTTTGTTAGGAATGTGATTATATGGAAATCAAGATAAAATAAAATTTACCCATAAATTCTGCTTGTGATATTTTCCTTTAAATATTTGAATTTAAAAATCTAATAACCAAATTTAGAGTATATCAGGTAAGGAAAAAAAACAATAAAGAATTATTAATATATTAAAATATGTAATTTTGAATTTCATATAAGGTAAAAGGTATGATAATTCTTATGTAATTTATTTTTAAATATTTTCTAGAATAATTAATATTTTAGTAATTATATCCATAAGAATAATCGTATAATTAATTAAATATAATATTATATTAATTATATCTTAAAATACCCGATTAGATAACTTGGATAAATGTAAGTGGAGATTCTTCGAGTGTGTTTGTATACAAAAAAATTCACTCTATACTCAAAATTTAACTAAACTTTAACACAACTCTACTATAATAAATATTATCAATATAGTTAAATAATATCAACAAATCATTCTTAAACATCTAATTAATTTTAATTTATTATTCATCCACTCGCATAATTTTAACGAACTCTCACTTCAAATATTCTCTCTCTTATTTTCATCAAATCAATTTTAATTATTTTATGTTAAATATTATTTTAATATAAAATCAAAATCCCACTAAAAACTAACCATACTACTTTTTTTTAAAAAAAAAAATAACTATAATTACCAAAAATAACTCATTTTGAGTGGAAATATTTGTATATAAACATGGTGTTCATGGTCGGGGACCTCAATTAAATTAGGAAATAAGACTCGTATTTAGATAATTTGTCGTTATCTTAATTGAATGCTCACAAATACTAACGATATCAAATTTGAGGAATGCTCAAACTTTTTTTGAAAATAAGACCTCAATTAAATGAGAGGAAATAAGACATTGTAAATCCCTTATAAAATTGTTTGAATTACAAATAATATGATTAAAATACCCGATAGCGGAGATTCTTAAAACCACCTATATTTGCTATTTTTGATATCGTTATCTTAATTGATGGTATATATAATCGGGTTTCTAAAGATTCAATTGTGAAAATACTTAAGCATTCCTCTTTTTTCGGTTTTCCCAAATCAAAAGGAATTGAAATTCCGATATGGAAGGAATCTCATCCAAAATAAGTAAAACGTGTATGAAAAAATTTCAAATAAAATTTTAGGAGGGAAAAAGGATTTGAGCGGCAAAATGAAAATATTTTTCAAACATTTTTCTTCTCTCTATTATATAGTAATAGATTACTATATTTGTATTTCATATTTATTTACAATTTTAAATTTACTTCAGTTTTACAAAAATTAACTTTATTCACTTTTCCATGTTACTTTTTTAGACATGACAATATTTCTGAAAAAGAAAAAAGATTAACCAATTGCACTTTAATTATGTTATTGGAATATTATTAGTAAATATTTAGCTAACTCAGGGCAGACAATACTGGGAAATATTTCAATTATAATATCTATTACTATATAATACGGAGAAGAAAAAATGTTTGAAAAAATATTTCAAATTCCCGCTTAAAAAACTGTTTTTCCCCCTTAAATTTAATTTGAATTTTTTTCATCCCCTTTTTTTTGCCATGGATTTCCCTTATCTACAACATGATTAGATTTCAAATCTTTTCAGTTCACATTACAATTCGATTTTAATTCGGGATTCAAAATTTGATTAGATTTTTTTTAAATATGTAAAAAAAAGAGAATCCCCTCTCTCTCTCTCTCTCTATATATATATATATATACAAATTTGTGATGAGTTGAATTTTAAATTCAATTTAATATTAACAAATGTATATTTTATGTAAATAAAATTTAATAGAAAAACAAAATTAAAAAGATTGTGTGGTAACATTTTTCGAAATAAATAAATTATGGGAAGGTGATTTTGTTAGCAAAAAATTCAAAGAATTTTGTTTGGGTTCAAATTTTGAATACGTGTATGATTAGTTATAGATAAATGAATCCAACATATTCTAACTACCAAAAAATATGGAAACACATTTCCTTATTTAAAAATTCAAATTCAAGAATGTGAGGAGTTGAATTTTAGATTTAATTTGAAATTAACCACTAATGTATATCTTATGTAAATAAAACATAATAAGAAAAAAAAAATGTGTGGTAACATTTTTCGAAAAGTGTGAGGAGTTGACTTTTAGATTCAATTTAAAATTAACCAATGTATATCTTATGTAAATAAAATTTAATAAAAACAAGAAAAATAGAAAAAAATGTGTGGTAACATTTTGGAAATCTATTACTATTATTACGACTAAGAAAAATTGTTCAAAAAACTCAAAAAAAATTATCTTATTTTCCCGCTTCATATTCCCGCTTTTTTTTTCGTTTTATTACTTTATTCGGTAAAGTTTTTTTATTTTATTTTTCATAATCCCGCCTACATTTCAATTGTAATTTATTTGGACGTATATCATAATTCTTTTTTTATTTGAATCGATTTGTTAGGAATCGGATATTTTCTTTTTTTTTTTGGAAGGGAGTTGATATAAGTCGGATAACATCAATTTAAATTAATTAATTATGAAATTTCATTTCCTTTATTTTTTCAAATCCGATTTATATTATATAGATAGATTTCACTTCCTTTTTTTGTAAGCGATTACCTTTTTTTTTGTAAGCGATTGTTTCAATTAAACGTGCACTAAGATCGAGTTGACCGAATTAAACAATTTTAAATAATATTAAACTAATCGATTACTATTAAATTAATTTTATTTGATTTTCACGTCTAAAATTTTCCAAAATACTATTTTTATTTTTGTGGAAAATGGCGGTTGGATGAAAAAGTCAAATTCAAATTAAAAAAAATTGTTATTTTGAAAAAGATATTTTGTAAACCTTAATTCATAAAAATATGGTCAATGATAACTTTAAATACAACGGGTAAATATGGTCAATGATATCATAAATTATATTTTATATTCGATAAGTTCAACTTAATTGATGATTTTGTTTGTTAATATTTGCTTAACTACAAAATATTTTAAAGTTTATAAAGAATCTCATTTTATGTAGGTTCTTGGTACTTTTTATTTGTACATATTCATTTTTCATCTCATATCCAAATACAAATTTAAATGCGGATCTTACATGTTTATTAGAAATATATGTATATTTTTTCAAAAAGTATGACGATCATATAATTAATTTTATCATATATCATATGTTGGGTGTTATTAGTTTGGTGGGGGACACTCATTATATT